TCTATTGCTTGTTCACATGCTGCTGCTTATCTCCTGGTGACAACATACTTACGATGTTTAGTGTCGCAAGTCTCGTACCACGCACATGATGTTAGTTCCATCTGAAAGCAACAAAAAATAAAACGTGATCATAAATACTCCTGAGGTTTTCCTGTTTTCCTCACACATCTCTCTTCTTCACTTGTCATCTTTGTTTCCGCAACAAAGAGGATGCAGGAAATGTTTAATATTCTGTTGAAACAGTGTAATATGTTATCATTTGGGCCTACAAATAGTGTATTCGGACACTCACACTGTTTGATGTTGACCCTGCATTTTATATAAATAACATTTCGGAAGTTGTCTTCAGATAATTTGTTGGGATCTTATTATCAGGCTTTCTATTTATTAAATATAAGCAAATGCAAGCATTATATAAACTATCTTCGACGAAGTTTAACTTTGGTCTGTCAGTATGTTACTGATGTGGAGAAATAGACAGTACTGTAAAACGTTTGCTCTAATTCTTCTCGATAACTTAACTTTCTATAAAACAGATTTTATATTTTTAATATTGCAACTTGTTCTCTTCACGCTGTGTCATTTGAAAGACACGTTACGTCATAAAGCATTGTTTTCTAGCCTTCCATTTGTGGAATATACGAAAAGAATAATACTGTACGTTTTGAAGTGAATATACGTATTGTAAATTTAATACTTGCAGCAACCTCCTTCTTTTACTCACAAGTGTAACCTTAGCTAGCTTCACGGAGCAAAATGTAGATCGAAAAGCTGACGGCCGTTTACCAGATTATGAAACATCTAATGTTATATATGCCGAAAGTTAATTTTCTTGTTCAAAATATCCCCTTTCTCCCATTTGACGTTATCCTGAGTCAGTTAAATTGTAGTCCACTCCTCCGCATTACTTTATAAGATGCATTTAATGTCATTTACTCATCTAAGCTAAGGTCTCTGAACTTGAAATTTACTTTTAGATTATCCTGCTAAACTATTGTATGAATTTAATCTCTCCATGCGTGTTAAATTCCGCCAACCTATTCATCCTTCTTAGCTTTAATACCGTAACAGTTTTTAGCCCTATTTGGAGAAAGGTGGGCTATAAACCATGAATCATCTCATTATGCAGTTTTCTTAATTTTCCTGTTACTCCTCCTCTGTTTAAATCCCACACATTCTTTTCAACACTTTCGATAAAGCAGTTATAAAATTAAAATCAGAACAGGAATAATTTTTGTAATTATTACAGATATCTTGACTTTTACCCCTTATGGAATCCACTTTAATTCATTAGGCTGACACTGGTGGTAACATATTTTGTTTTCAAGGTAATTTTTATTGTTTCGATAATCTTTGCTTATTGTTCTGAAACAATAAAACACCTGCCTTTGGCTGTGTTGTCATTCCCTTGTTAGGCACAGTGCTATGATCAACTATTTTCATCTTACAAATACACGTAATTAGATTTAAGGTACCGTCTTACAAATAAAATTTGTATTACTCGTAAAAACACAAAGCCAAGAATTAATTTAGTCCACCACGCAGTAGACAAATTTGGTAAAGAGATCGATTGTCACCTCTCCTTATTGATAACAATATCGATATAAATTTGGCAATATAGTACTAAGACGTTTGTCGTCCCCGTAATAGATGAACTTTGTTACATGTTTAATGTTCAATGAGTTGCAACGCTTCCTTTAAGCTACGTGAAATACTAAAAGTAAAGTAAAGTTTGTCCCACTATACGCCATGTAGGCGTTTGGGGTGAGTGGAGGTATAGCTCCTCTCTTCCTTGACCTCGGCAATAGATGGGGGTGAGTGGTCAGCATCACGCCCGGCTGGCTTTACCCCCGGGAAAGGACCCCGGTACCCATTGTAGAGGAGGCTGGGTGGGCCCCAGAGCCGGTCTGGACGCAGAGGATAGAGGAAAAATCCTCTGCCTCCGTCGGGGATCGAACCCCGGTCGTCCAGCCCGTAGCTAGTCACTACACTGACTGAGCTATCCCGGCTCATACGTGAAATACTAGGAAACAGAAAAACGAAGATTGTAGTCACAGGTGAAGCAAACAAGGCGAATAATTAGCCGGATGTGTGTGAATACGAGATGCAAGTTGGACTCTGGTTTCCCCAGGGCGCTACACATCATGCACACTATCTGCCTGCCGACAAGGTACGCAAGTAGCCGCTGTAATTAACACGAGAACCTATTTTCAAATCCCCAAGATCACATTTTCGCTCTGAACCTCTTGTTTTCAGCTGCTGCGGGAGCTATATATAAGAGACTGTAACATTACATACGGCAGTCTAATGCTCCAATTGAAGAACCATGAAAACCTGTAAGTCCTTTACGGTAGACTCCGTAGAAAAACTCTATTTTGACTCGTGACTTTTTAGGAAAGTGTTTTAAAATATTTTTTAACTTATTCTTCTGCTGTTACTGACGCTTTAATGAATTAGGTCCAGTGGCATGTTCCAAATGAAAATAAATTCTGAAAAATAAATCCTACAGAAATTTGGTATTGCTACAGGAATATCTGCACGACAGAACGCGGATATGGGCCAATTCAGCGATCGAAGCTGTGCACAAAATTGTGGTTAGATTGTATTATAACTTTATATGAATTTGATCCTGTGAAGCAAAGCCCTTCCTCAGAAACTGATTTATAGCAGCCTAGCTGATCAAAAACTTCACCGGCTTTTCATTAATCAAAAGCCCTATCCTGAGCCATTTGTATCCAGTCGACTTCAACGCACTCTACTTATTCAAGGCCAATTTAAAATCGTCCGCCCACGCACATCTGGATTTTTGGCTTTTCCGACCAAGACCTTTTTGCCTTATTATTTACCCCCATGTTCCATCCATCGCTATTTTATCACTGCACTTCTGTTTTATAAAAATGTAAATTAAGAAGTTCCTCGTTGTCGATTACAGATGCAGTATTACTTAAACTGAGTTTATATCAAGAACATTAGCAAATTTGAGCGGTAAATTAAGTTTTCGTTTTTTGAGGGTGGTAAATATTACCGATAGTTCGGACGAACTTGCTGCCTTCTTGATAATGACGTTTCTGACCTCGAAGGACGCTACAAGTGCCTCCTCAATGTTGGTAGTGATTACGTTTTCGATACTGCCGGATACCTAGAAGAAAATTATGAAATTATATTTTTCATGTTTCCATACTTGATAGAATTTTTAAGACTGTTTAGTTGCGTGCCATGAGCTTTACTAAACGTGTCTAGTCTCGGACTTTATTTTCAATTTAATTGTCTGCGTTATGCTATAATGCTTTATCGTTTGTAGTACTCTTTTGTGTTTACTTTAACATACGTTTTTAGGAGGCAGAATTGCGCATCATAACCGGAGAACAATTTTAATTAGAAATCATGTTGCTTGCACGCAGTACTGTTTTCTTCTGTTTTTTATTCGTTAAATTAAATTATATGCAAACTAGGCTTGTACGACTTGGCTCTCCATTTTTATTCACATTTTTCACAAGGATGATGTTTGTGTAGGATCATTGCTTCCCCATCATGAATATTCATGGTAGAATCAACCCTTCACTAAGAGCCCCGCATTACGGTACGTTTTGTGTTCTTTTTCCCTTTCGCTCATCCCCATCCACCCTACACACAATTTCACTACCCTTCGTCTCGTAGTGTCATTATTTTCTCTCTTTTTTTCCCCGTCTCTCTTCTCCCTTTTTCTGTTCTCAGCATGTTCATCCACAATGTATATACGTTATCCCCTGTCTCAAAGAAAAATAACTTTCCGAAATTTATTGCACGAAGAGATAGATTTGTAACAAGCCCCAAGTTTCTTAATATTCTTCTGTACTCCAATATTTTCTTCAATTTTTTGTTGTTGAATTTAACCAAACGGTGTTACATATATAGAGCAGTTTACACTTCGGTTTGCATGTTTTTACTTATACCCACGAGGTCCCTCAAGCCCCACATTTACGTGTTTCAGAAGTGTGTCTATTAATACCTCAGGTGTTGGTACTTCTCAACGATGCATCTGGCCAACGTTAAGAGTATGAAATCTCCGGAAAAAGTAGTTATTCTTTCATCCAATAGGTTTACGTATTCCTTTATTAAGTTTATGGGTGTACCAGGGAGTCATTACCACATTTAAAGTCAAGTTGCCTTCCGTAGAACTTTCTCCGATTTAATGCCAAAAACGGAAGAGGACTGATGAATTATATTGTGCTACTGCAATGTTATGGAGGCCTTCCCGATATTTAACAAGTGCGGGATTAAAGTAAAACACAAGAGAGTTTTGTTTATGAGGTTTGTTTTAAGCTGCGTTATTCAGGAACAGAATTATCTCGTAATTTGGTTAATTTCTAAGTATCTTCTTCGTAATTAAGTTTCGTTTATGAAGGACGTATATTTACGTTTAATTAGAAGCGTTTCTGTTTCTGGAATTAGAACAAAAATAACACAATTTAACAATTTTATGACATGTGTCTTCAGTCGGAGTGTGTATTTTATACGCCACGGAGTGTCTAACAGGATATAAGATATTGATTTGTTATGGTTTTGGACTTGTTTTTCGTTTCAATTAAAATTTACTTCAGCACAGAACCTGCATTATTATGCCTAATTAAATTCCAGAAGTTGTCTGCGGGTGTGTCTGATTGGCTTAATAGCGAGTATGACCATATTAACTCTACGAGATTTTGTCCTTAGATAAAGATAGTGCAG